AAAGCCCATTTCCGTTCGACTGTCTGCACACTGTCCACCCACATCGCAGAGGCGGCAGCGGCCCCTCACCTTCTATGATGTAGACGCACTCTCGGTCAGGGGGGTACTTGCTGGGGTAGTTGGGAGAGGTGAAGGTGCCTCCGTCTGCATGTTTCGTCCAAGTCCCACACTGCACCGACTTCTGTGTTTCTGAGGTGGCTTGCTTTTCTGTAAAAAAAAATGTTTAAAAAGAGCCATCATCCAATTTTCTATAAAACTAAAAATAGAGAGGACATTCTTATAATACCCATTAGTAAATTAATTTCTAAATGTTGTCTTAGTCAAAACCAATCAATTATACACACTATAGAATGTTCGGATATTCTGGAATATCAAGCATATGGGGGGGAGAAAGAAAATGCAAATAATGCAGTTTTCCAAAGAAACACACCTGTTCCTTTCTTGGTTGCCCCAGACGAATGGAGGATGATTAAACTTGCTACAACTGAAACAGAAAAGAACAATTAGAAAGAGCTATTAGTATTCACTGAAATGATCACATTCTATACCAACATAATTTAAAGATAAAATGATATCAAATCAGATTAATTTTATTGTTAGGGACTGCTCCAGTGGATTCAGGGCTTGGACAAACTGATTCAAAATGTACAAATCAGAAAACCTTAGGAATGGCTTCTGGCCGTAATGCTTGCTAGTTAAGGATGGATGAGACCCAAACTTCTTAGGCAGAGGCCTGCTTCAAGGCTAAGGGGGCAATATTGTCATCTTAATGTCACCTGACAGTAGGTTTCAGGGCCCCCACTGTTTCTAAGGGGCCCTATGTGGATGAATGGCTTTGCTAACATCTCTAAGGGAACAGAGGTGACAGCAGGTAAAAGGATGAAAAGGGGAAGCAAACAGTGAAAAGGACTTCAGGACTGATCCTAACACATTGCCGATATTGTTGTATTTTAGAAAATAAACACTTAAGCCAATCCTATGGCTGGAGGGAGAGGGAAAACAGGAAACCAGATCAATGTGGCTGGAGGCACCAGGCAGTAGGATAAAACTGTTCCTTATAAATATATATTGTACTACAGAGAGACCCCGTCCTCGGCATTTTCTATGCTCTACAATTAATATCCTCTAACCTTGACTTTCATTTAAGATTTAGTATTTTCCAGAAGTGGATTATTCGTCTGACAAAGGCGATTTCTATAAGCATTTTATTGAGTCATTTTGTTTCAGTATCAAAAAGAGATTGATCTGTAACTTAACAGTAAATCTGCAAAGACCACTGTAACCTCAACTTCTGTTTCACTTCTAGTCTTGATTCACTGAACATTTTTACAAAGCTGAAAACTAGGAATGTATTCAAGTCGTCTTCACAGTTTCTGATTTTTCCCCTTCTACTTTCTTGTTTGTTCATTTTTATGTTGTTGCCCAATCATCTGACAGCTGTAAGTTCCATTAGGTGTATCATCCTGTTTCCACTTCAGATGAATTTGGGAAAAGGAGGGTGTGATCCACCCGTGACTTCCTAAGCTCAGGTTCACTACAGGAGCTTATTACCAAGGTTTGCCTAACAAGGATTCCCGGGGAAATATCTGGGCCTTGGTATTAGCGTCTGAGAAACTCTGTCAAACGTATCACTTCGCTGTCTTGCCTGGTCATCTGTTTTAAGATGAAGACATTACTTGTTGTTACTGTGTGTGTTTAAATGGAACACAACCTTGTTTTAACTTGCCATAATTCTGTACTCACACAAACACACAGGCAAACAGCCATCCATGTCAAGGCATATGCTTGGCGTTTTCTTTCCTCTGTTTTGCCTGTTTTTATGGAATCACACTACGGAACATGTACTATAATGAACACATCAGCAAAACCGGTCTTTTAACTGCGTGGCACAGGATTGAGACTGTCATCCCTGCCTTTTTCATTTTCTTATATTGCCTTTTCCTTAGTGACTTTGGACACTATTTCCCTCCAATTCACCCCCCTCACTGCGTGTGTACCACAGGATCCTACCTAAAGCAACACCAGAGCTCTACTACCCAGGAGAGTTGGGGGGACCCCCAGCCCTCACCTTAGGTGTACCCTAAACTACCTACTGGGGGGGGGGAATGCGGGCCCGCTGATCTCCAGATGTCCCTGAAAGAGGCATATTCCCTCTGATCCCAGAAACTGTCCGCCCTGTGTCCCTACCTTTCCACCGGCGCCCTCCCGGGGGCCCGTGCCCACCCCGAAGGAGCGGCCCTTCTCAGCCCCCAGGACATTCCTTCCTGCACAAGGAAAGGCTGTTTTCCTGGGCGGATTTTGAGACCCGGAGACGACGGACCGCGCGCCGCCCCCGAGCCCCGCTCCACGATGCTGCAATACAGAAAGTTTACGC